GAATGGCAGTTTGACCAAATGGTCCAGCCATCTGGTAGTCTGCCCGAGTAACAGACTCTACACGGGTCAGCCTGCTAGTGAAGGCCGTTACTCATACCGAAAGCTCGCCCCGATCTACCATGTGGATTATATAAATACAGGAGCTTGAGAAGTCTTCGGTGGTTCTCTAAATCAAGGCATGCTGTGGACCATCATTTCGGGAATCGTTTACGCGAGGTCGACCGGACCGCGATACCAATCCGTCAATCCGACTTTACACACAAGAACTGTTCAAACGCCATGGCTACTGATGACTATACTCCCATTTTCAACACAGACTTTCTTGTCAATGTTATCTGATGGACTTAGCAAACCCTCTCTCTAACACAGTGGTTCTCAGCCTTCCTGATGCTGCGACCCTTAGTACAGTTCTTCAAGTGTGGGGGCGACCCCCCAACCATAAAATTATGTCCGTTGTTACTTTATAAACACGTGTTTTCCGATGGTCTTATGCGACCCCTGAGTAAGGGTCATTCGACCCCCAAAGGGGTCGCGACCCACAGATTTAGAACCGCTGCTCTAACAACACACATCAATATGCCCAAATGCTGGTGTATCGGAGACTGGTTCCTCGCACAAATTACCACTCCCCCATCCTACTGATCGCCACTAATTACTCTCTGATAAAATCTGTACAACATCAAAGGGCGCAGCACGTGCGAGGAGTACTTGGGGAAAGGGCGGGTGGGGGGGGGGATAAGTCTCTGGACTTTCACGTCACATGACGTAAGATTGGAACTTGGAAAAGGAGTGGGACAATGATGTGGGGTGGGGGTGAGTCACGGATAACAGCATCTCATGAAATTTCCGGCTGTTAAAATATTAATTCAACGGGTAAATGAATCGGTGAGAGAGAAAAATGTCCAAAGGAAAAGTCGCCAGTTTTTTTTTAGAGACTTGTTTTTTCTGTGACTTTTTTCTCCTGAGACATTTGTCCTACAATCAATTAATCCCCAGTAAAGCAGACCACTAGCCACCACCACCACCACATGCTACCCAGTAAAGCAGACCCCTAGCCACCACCACCACATGCTACCCAGTAAAGCAGACCACTAGTCACCACCACCACCCCATGCTACCCAGTAAAGCAGACCACTAGCCACCACCACTACCACCCCATGCTACCCAGTAAAGCAGACCACTAGCCACCACCACATGCTACCCAGTAAAGCAGACCACTAGTCACCACCACCACATGCTACCCAGTAAAGCAGACCACTAGTCACCACCACCACCACATGCTACCCAGTAAAGCAGACCACTAGTCACCACCACCACCCCATGCTACCCAGTAAAGCACACCACTAGCCACCACCACCACTACATGCTACCCAGTAAAGCAGACCACTAGTCACCACCACCACCACATGCTACCCAGTAAAGTAGACCACTAGTCACCACCACCACCACCCCATGCTACCCAGTAAAGCAGACCACTAGTCACCACCACCACCCCATGCTACCCAGTAAAGCAGACCACTAGCCACCACCACCACTACATGCTACCCAGTAAAGCAGACCACTAGCCACCACCACTACCACCACATGCTACCCAGTAAAGCAGACCACTAGTCACCACCACCCCATGCTACCCAGTAAAGCAGACCACTAGCCACCACCACATGCTACCCAGTAAAGCAGACCACTAGTCACCACCACCACCACCCCATGCTACCCAGTAAAGCAGACCACTAGTCACCACCACCACCACCACATGCTACCCAGTAAAGCAGACCACTAGCCACCACCACCACCACCATCACATGCTACCCAAAAAAGCAGACCACTAGCCACCACCACCACCACCATCACATGCTACCCAGTAAAGTGGCAGCATGTTCAGAACGACTCCAGGTGAGAATGGCCGACGCTCACCTGAGTCCGGAGACAGCAAGGACTTTTAGGGGGGGGGGATATTTTTGCTTTAAAAAGTTGACCCAATAAAGATGTGTCAGCCATCATCACCAGAGCCAGCTGTTCATTTCCCCGTTCTCCCCACAATAAAGATGTGTCAGCCATCATCACCAGAGCCAGCTGTTCATTTCCCCGTTCTCCCCACAATAAAGATG